TTGTAAAGGATTTCTGGAATAATAGTATTAAATGCTGAGCTGAAGTCCACAAAAAGAACTCGTGTGTAAGACTCCAGAGATCCAAGGTGTTGCAGAATATAGTGTAAGGCCATGTTAGCATCATCTACTGACCTATTTCCTTGATAAGCAAACTGCAGTGGATCTAACGGGATCGGTGATGGCTTTCAGGTGAGCCAGCACTAACTTCTCAAAGGTCTTCATAACTACAGATGTCAGTGCAACAGGCCTGTAGCAGACAAGATTTCTTTTTAATCAGGCTGTTTCCCACATATGTGGAGTAGCAGAAACTTTTGTGTAAGAAGATGAGATGAAAAATGCTAAGGGTTGCTGTGCTGCTTTGTGGAACATTCATGAGCCTGAACTTCCCAAATACCTTTTGAGTAATACATTTTTCCCTTTCAGATCCTCTTTGACCAAACCCAAAGATCAATTAAAGCACAACTTCAGATGTTTGTTAAAGAGTAAGTTAACTTTCATTTTGCCCAAGATGGATGCCTAACGGAGTCCGGCCCAAGGTGAATTGTAGGTCCCTTACATTGGGCTGGCAAAAAGCTGCAAATGCTAAAAGTGCCCCCTTTGACTTCTCCAAAGCAAGCACTCCTTGTTAAGAACTGGAGGGGTGCAATCGATCTTGGCCTTCCCTCCATGAGGCTGTGACATAGAGAGCTGCTCAGCAGATGCAGCCCGCCTGGCTTTGAGAGAAGCGGGCTGCTTCCTTTCCCAGGCCTCCAAGAGATGGCAGAGCACAGCTTGGATTCCTCGGCTTGGTTTCAGCCGTCCTGAGATCAGGCTGGATAGGCCTGACTAGGGAAAGAGGTGGGGCAGATTTAAGAACCCCAAATGTCCCAGGGGATGACAGAGCTGGTGTCCGCTGAATGCGTGCACAACCCCTTAGACTTTCTCTTAACTTTGAGGCACTTTTATGCAACGTTAGTTGGGTCTTGCCAGGAGTCTTCCTTGTCGTCTTTGTTATGCGAATTCTGATGTTGGAGACGGTTTGATGTTTTTTCCCAGTAGCTTGGATAGCCCTTGTCCAAAAAGCAAGCAGCCTGTCTGTGGCCTACGTGTTGTGCTTAGCCAGTTTTCAAGGAGTCTGGAGGCCACCATCTCATTATCCTGTTTGCACCAGAAATCACTTACGTCACTTTTCTTACACACACGTGTGCCACTGTGGAATCTTTTGTGCTTGTGTCAAACTTTGTGGGGAAAATAAATGGATTCCCCCTTGAATCCCACTGATGGTCTGTAGTGGGAAAAGCTTGAGGGAACCTGGAAATTTATTTCCTTCATGCTCTAGAGATATACGGAAGTTTAAAGATGCAAAGAAGCAGTTTGAGAAAGTGAGTGAGGAGAAAGAGAACGCCCTTGCCAAAAACGCTCAAGCCCCAAGGAACAAGCAGCATGAAGTTGAAGAGGCGACCAATATTCTGACCGCGACCCGGAAATGCTTTCGGCATATTGCTCTGGACTACGTGCTTCAGGTGAGCGCTGGCGGCTGGGGTCAGGGAGGCCCTCAGACAGAGCAGAAGGTCCTGGTTACCTTGCTCAGTTTGGTTGTGGGGGGCAGGTAGTGCTGAGGCAGCCAGTCCATTGCCCTGCTGGTGCTCCCCAGAAAGAGGAAGGCTTCCTTTCGATGAGGAGGCCTTGGGAGCAGTTTCTTCTTCCCAGAGGCTCCCTGGAAAGTGAGTGGACCTTCTAGCAAAGGAAGCTCCAGAGCAGGTGGGGCAGCTGAGCAAAGAGCTGTGGAGGATGCCTTTGTGACAAGGGCCCCGGGTGGGGACAGACCAGCCGTGCTGACTGGTCAGTTTCATCCTCTTCTGAGGCTTCACCGCCACGTTGCCTTCCTCCTGAGCCTGGACTTCCTGTGGTGGGATTGCTGAGCTTCCCTTGTGTACAAGAAACAGCTTTTCTGAGGGCCAAGCAGCGGAGGCCCCCTTCTCTCCCTGCCAGGCCTTTGTACTACTAGGTACCTCTACACTCAGTGAAGCAAACTGTTTTTTGTTTTTGTTCTTCCCCTAGATTAATGTTCTTCAGTCAAAGAGGAGATCAGAGATCCTAAAATCGGTAGGTGGCCTTATTTCTTAGGAATTACCTAGCCCACTAGTGCTGAGGTGGGCAAATTGGGGCTCAGTAAAGATGGAGGGAGCCTTGGCTTCCACAGCTATTGGTGTTCCGTGGGCCTGATGCTCTCCTGGGTCTAGAAGAGAGAAGCGCAGAATGTTACATCCTTCAGCAAAGGGCCTCTCCTCCTCCTCCTCCTCCTCCTCCTGCCTTGGCGGCTTGCCAAAGGAACGTGGGAGCTTGTGAGAGCGTGGCCTGCCTCATCTGCCCTTTCCTCCCTGCCAGATGCTGTCCTTCATGTGTGCTCACCTGGCCTTCTTCCACCAAGGCTATGACCTGTTCAGCGAACTTGGACCCTACATGAAGGACCTTGGAGCCCAGGTAACAAGGGATGAACTGAGCTGCTCCAGGGAAGAGGAGGCAGGGGCACTCCAGAGGGATCTCTGCTGGGGAGCCCAGCTGTCATTATGGAAAGTCAGCCGACAAGACGGACCCCGAGGACAGCTTGTTTCTGCGGCTGCCTTTGTGCTGCCAAAGCAGCTCCCCTTTCTTGCACCCAGTGGGTGGAGCGGCAGGAAGCCCAGAGGGTCCCTCTGCCCTCCCAGCCTGTGGAGGGTTTGCTGCAGCGGTGGCTGCTCCCGGCACCCTCCAGCGGGGCTGGTGTCAGTCCGGAAGCACCTGGACCCCGCCTACCCTGCAGCTGCTGGGCAAGAGCCTCGCTCCATGCCCTGAGCAGAGATCTTTCTCCTGCACTGTGGAGAAATCCACTGCCCTGCCCTGCTGCGGCTGCTACTGCAGCGGCTCTGGCCAGGCAGCTGAGGCTGTGAAGGCTGCATGAGTCATCCTTTTCTCCAGCCCGTAGCAATGCGCCAGTCCAGCCGCATGTGCTTGGCACCTCGGGGCTTCCTGGACTCCGGCCCCCCTGAGAAAGGCAGGGACAGAGGGAGATCTTGACCCAGCGCTGTGGGAGAGGGACAGGGCCTCGCCTGTCTAGGTAAACCTGGGGAGGGGCAGCTCACCTCAGGGGTGCAGGTGCATGAAAGGGTGTCAAGGATCTGTGTTTCCTTCTTTTCCTTTCTACAGCTGGATCAGCTGGCTCTAGATGCTGCAAGGGAGAAGAAGGAGATGGAGCAGAAACATTCCACGATTCAGCAGAAGGTACTGGAAGGAGTGCTGGATGAGGGCCATCTGCCCATTTTGGCTCTGGCAGGTCAAGGGCCAGCTACACAGAGCTGGTCAGGGCATCTGCTTGCTGGAGATCTACGGAAGAGCACCCTCTTCCACCTTTCCCTATAAAGGTGTCAGAGATGCCTCTCACTGGGACCTGTGATAGGGTGGCACTTGGATGGCAGGAGAGGAGGCAAGGTGAGGTTCGCCACCTCTGCTGCTGAAGGAGCCGCGCGGATTGCAGCTTGACCTGCGAGTCGTACCAGGATGGCCAGGCAGGGCTTCAGTCATCTTCCAAGTTGCCTGCCCCGAGGCCTTCCTCTTGGCCCCGTGTGCAAGTGCCCTTTGGAGTCCGAAGATCCCTTTACAAATAAGAGCAAATCTCACCTGCTCTTCAGGTGTCTCGAACACTGAGCAGGATACGGTACTTCCACGGCTTCTGGCCACAAGCAGCTTCAACATGCAGAAGTGCGAGTGAAGCAGCTGCTAAGCCTGCCCGTCCCCTTTGATGCAGGGAGACAGGACTGGCGACGCCAGGCTTCCTCTGACCCTGTGTCTGGTCAGGTTCGGGGGGCTCAGCCTCACAGCCCTTCGCTCCAGGGGCCGCGTGTTCTTGAAAGGGGGTCCTTGAGCCCCACCCTGGAAACAAGGGCTGGTGAGGCAGGGCTCTCTGCCTTTTTTCTTTTCTTTTTTTTATCCCACGCGCCCACATGCATGCGAGGAGAGGGTAGCAGTTTTGCCAGAAGGAAGGAGAAACTTCAAGGAACTTTCCCCGTTCCTTTTTCCTGCTGTGCTTATGGGGGGACATGGACGCCTGTGCACCCCTTCCCACCCCCCTCCTGTCCCCAAGAACTGCATCTGAAGGCAGTTCTGCTAATCACACTCACCTTTCCTGCCATGCCAAGTAAAACAGTGAAGAAGCTGCTGATAACGTTCTCGCTAGTGGTTTAAAAAGATCAATAAAACTTTGAAAATGGGAAAAGCGTAATTAAAAACAAAGTAACCCTTCAGAGACTATGCTAAAGGAACAAAGATGTAATTTGGGAGTGGGTATAAAGTCATCTTTAACCTTAAGGAGAGAGACAAAGTTTTAATTGTCTGTATTTGCAGGATGTTTCACTGACCTTGCTGATTGGCTGTAAGGGGCTTGGAGACTTAGCCGACAGCCCCTTTCTTAAGCCCCAACTGCCGATGTTCCTGTGTTTCCCCTCCCTCCTCCCTGGCTGCAAGAGTTGGCTTGCTCTCTCGGTTTCTAGGCCATTGCTTGGCTCCTTGGCTGGATCTCAGCCCCTTCTCCCGGCTGCTCCCGTGGTGGGGCGCCATAGTGCCAGACTGCTCTTGTGGAGGATGTGGCATTGAAAGGCTGGCTGCTTTGGGGTTCCCTGTGTCTCTGTCCCCACAGGAGCCTCCCTGCTGGCCTCCTCTGGTGACTCAGTTCAGGGCTTCCCTGGCTCTGTGGCCAGCCATCTGACTCCCAGGAGCCCCTTCCTGGTATTGGGGGAGGATCTGCGGAGAAGAGAGGTGGTCGGTTCTCATGCTCCTCGATCCCACTGGTGCTGAAGGTTTTGGAAGGGCAGAGATGGGCCCAGCCCTCCATCGGTGGGAAAGGAGCAGGCAACGTGGTGCCCATGGTGGCTACTCCTGGCCTTTCCCTGCCTCTCTCTTCTCATTTTAATTTTTTTAAAAATGGAAAACTGGCTTGCCCAAAGCAAAGTAGCAGCACCTGGTGTTGTCTTGATTTAGGGAATTCCTCTGGGCCCCGTGCAGAATAAGCTGGAGGGCCGCAGTCGGGGCTCGCTTGGGATCTGTCCCCCTCTCTGCAAGAAAGAGAAAGTTTGTTTGTTGGTTTGAAGATTTGTAAGGTCACCCAACTCAGACTGTGTGACTCTGGGCAGCGTACAACATAAACACACAATAAATCATACGAAAAACCCAAACTATCTAACAAACAATATATAAATACAGAATCTAGAAGCTAAAATGTAGAATGGCAACCAAGCATACAACAAAACAAGCTCAGCGGGTCTCCCGCTCAACCAGCCCCTAATTCCTGGGGGAAGAGCCAAATCTTAAGGTGAGGAGAGTTGCAGCCTGTCGTATATCAGGGTGGGGAGATTATTCCAGAGAACGGGCAACCACAGAAAAGGCACCCTTCTTAGACCCCATAAGATGGTAAGTCTTAAAAGGAGGAGCCTGGAGCATGCCCCCCCCCCGTGGGAGCGTGTGGGGTGGGCAGAGGTTCTTGGGAGTAGGCGGTCCCTCAAGTAACCTGGTCCTACGCCATGTGGGGCTTTAAAGGTAATCACCAGCACCTTGAATTGTATCGGAAGCCCATCCGGAGCCAGTGCAGCTCGCTTGGTAGTGGTGTTACCTGGGCATAACGAGATGCACCCATAACCACTTGTGCTGCTGCATCCTGGACCCACTGAAGCTTCCAGGGCAGCCTCACATACAGTAGTTCTCTCAGTTGCAGGGTAATGCTGAAGCTAGAGCCGGGAGGGGACTCTCCCCACTGGCAATTCTCTGTCCTCACGAGGAGGTCCGAAGGGGAACCTGTGAAGAGTTGACAAAGCAGAGGACCCCCAGCGGTGGGCCAGGTGCTCCTGGATGGCTGGCCCTGCTCTTGGCCGGGGTCTTCCGTGCTCTTCTCTCAGGCTGCTGCAGGGAGCTGGGGAAGGACTCGGTGGACGCTGGGGCCAGCATCTCCTGCAGAGGCTGAAAGGAGACCTCTCTTTGTGCCAGGAGTTCTCCAGTGACGACATGAAGCTTGAGTACAACGTTGATGCTGCGAACGGCATTGTGATGGAGGGCTACCTCTTCAAGCGAGCCAGCAACGCCTTCAAGACCTGGAATAGGTAAGGCTGTTCCCTGAGGGGGGGCTTTGAGGGCACATGCCATATTGGGGGGCTGCTCTCTCTGTCCCTTGACTCATTGGTGCCCAAGCCCAAGCCCCCTCCTCAGTGCACAGAACCCAGGGCCTCCGGTGCTCTTCCTTTGATTGTGCGGCGCTGCCAGTTTATCCTGCTTGTGATAATTGCGGGCTGGGCTGCCTAGACCACCCAGGCCCCAGGGTCCTCTTACTGCCACACCTGGGGGGAGTCCCTGTTATCTAGTCCCTCCTCTGGCAGCTGAAGAGCAGGATGATGGGCCAATTTAAAGGTGCCCTTGAGACCGAGAGGGCAACACGCCAGCTGTGTTCCCAGGAGGAATGAGGAAGTGGCTCAGGGCATCATAGTGGCAAAGATTTCTTCCTTAGTCGTGTCTAGAAAGGCAGGGAAAGGGTGTCTGTCCATCCAGATAAAAACTGCATGGTTGCTCTTCCCTTGGCGATGGCTGTCCTTAGAACTGGAAACAGCGACCCAGTGAAATGCCCGTAGTGGGGTAATTGCAGGAAAAGAGTGATCTAGAACTACCTGGGGGAAAAAAGGGTGGAGGGTGGGGAGCAAATACCAGGCTGGCTAATGAACAAGGTGAGAGAAACATTCTTTAAAAAAATACAGAAGTTCTGCTCATATGAAAACAAAACTTTGGTAAAATAAATGCAAACAGTCAAAACGGGCTCGGAGGACACATCGAAGGGCATGAAGGCCCATCATTCATAGCTCCCCTCTATGGAAAGGAGACAGCTGTTGGGGCAGAGGGGAGGCACTGGTGAGCTGGACAGTTTGGGGGGCTGTGGGAGCCCCTTGTTAAATCGGTGGGGATTTTCGGAGCTCCCTGTTTTTAAAAATCAATCACTTCAAAACCTGACATGGTGAAGACGGAGGGTGGTGAGACCATGTGGAAGGACAGGCTCACGGCCTGGGCGCGTCTCTGGGAAGAAGTGCCGAGCGGGGGGCCTGGCAAGGAGAGGGCGTGCATAGGTTTACCTGGAGGCGCTAATCTCTCTGTCGCGCCCTGAAAGAACAGGATGACTTTGTCCTCCTGGGGAGCTCAGTGAAGATTGTGACCGGAGAGCCCCAGGTTACGAATTGGCGCAGCCCCCCAGGGACCTCTGGGAGACCCTGGGCGGAGGGGACTTTCCTCCCCTGCCCCAGCGGGCAGCCTCCTTGGAAGGAAAGGAGGCACTTCCAGATGGGAAAAGCAGAGGTCAAGCTCACTGGACCCAGAGCTGCTGCCAGAGGAGGCCAGGGCCCTCCGGGGCCTCTGCTTGGTGAGAGGAGGGGGCCTGAGCCAGCCGTAGCACCCTGGAGCAACGGGAAGGGCAGGCGGGGGGAGGCTCCGAGGCTAGGCCCATTCCTGAGGCCAAGCCCTGTGTTGCCTTCGTGGAGCTCGCTGGTTTGTCGACGGAGGCAGGACCAGGGCCTGTCTGGCCCACTGGATGAGTTGGGGAACCTCATTTCCAGGCTCGGCCTGGGGGGGATCCTCGTGGCTTTGCAGCAGCACGCGGGAAGCTGGCAGCGAGGTGCCGTGGTCTCCTGGCTGGGTCCACTGTGGCTGCCCTCATACCTGTGGGCAGGGGGCTCTGAGCCCCGTGCGCCCACAGCCGTCTGGCTTCCCAGCCCTCGCTGGGGCCTTCCACGTGGTGCTCTGGGCCACGAGGGAAGGGGCTGCAGCGGGCGGATGCCGAAGGGCCCCGACGGCCCCCTCCGCCTGGCTGCTTGGGGCGGGGGCAGCGCCCAGGAGCTGAGCCAGCTGAAGCCATTCTGCTCCTCTTCTCTCGGTCTTGCTCCATTGCACGCCAGCGCTCGGCTTCTTCTGGCTTTCATTTCTCCATCTTGCTCCTGCTTCTGTTTAACCCTCCCTCGTTTTCTCCACATGACAGGAAACCGCCCAGCGGCATCAGGTACCTCTCTGCTTGTGCCCCCTTGGCGCTTCCTCCCTGTTCTGTGGCCGTGCATGCTGCCCAAAGCCGGCCCGGCCCCGGGACAAACCAGGGTCCCCAGGCACGCCAGGCCCGGAGCGCCGCCGCCGTTGCCTCCTCCTCCGTAGCGGACAGGGGCTTTGGGCCACCGCCTCTCCTTCCTTCGGGGCATCCCCATGGCCCTGGTCCCTTGATAGGGGGCCGCTGGTGGGGAGAGGCGCTGTGCCTCTGCCGGGGGAAGGAGGGCGTCGGGGCCGAGGGGAGCTGAGCCCAACAACGGGCCTGCCCAGCAGCAGCCCTTTGGGGCTCGGCTCTCTCGAGGACACCGATCCGCTTTCTTCCTCGAGCGCGTCCTGCCTCCTGT